ATTTCATATTTGAAATTCCTATCAAAAATGTTGAAAATTTCAAATTCACTAAAAATATATATGCATATATATCTATATTTATTTATTTTTTTTTTTTTACTTTGCTAAGCAATAAATTATTAATCAATTTGCACTAAAATTTATTTTAAACATTTCAATCATTTCTTCATTTTTTCTTTTAAATCTGTCGAAACAATTTGATTATTTATTTAAAAAAAATTTTTTTTTTTTTTGCTTTTTTTCAAGCAGAAAAATTTAGTAATGCAAAAGTAAGAAATGTACTTTTAAAATTATATCACATCATCATTTACTAAAAATAATAATGCTGCAATTAAAAGATTTTCTGTGTATTATAATCATTTTATCTACCTGTAAAATTGGTCATAGTATGGTAAATATACAAATTATTGATTGGCTATTTTAAAATTTTTTCATTTTCTTTTTGCCCTTTTCACTTAGCTGATTGTAAATTTTCGTTTCCAAGGACACCTTACTCTTCAACCTTTACTTTTTTACGTTTTTATTTTTTCTTCTTTTTTCGTTCTTCATTGCTTCTAACATAATTATTTACCGAACAATCCAATCATGTCGTTCGTTCAACTTTAAAAAGCTTTTATTTACATTTTTTCCTCTCAAATTTTATGTTCCGTGCAAACTATGAATCATTTCAATCTCTCATTTCGATGACAATGACAAGCTATCGGATGTGACATTGGAGATGATTCGTAATTTCTAGTCATTTATCGTCCCTCAAAAAGATATCCTTCAATTTTTGATGCTCTTCTCTTCTGACAGTGTCAATAAAAATTTTCAAACTAAACTTTTGATGAAATAAGAAGTGAAAGATTTTGCTAGTAATGCTTATTCTTATATTATTCATAAAATTTAATCAAAATTTTTAGACATTAATTTTTGGACGTTGACTATCGATTCAAAGAATTTATTTTGAATTTTCAATCAATACGATGATTTAAATTCTTTTTTTATTTATAAGTTTTTAATTATTTATTTAAGTTCTGATTTATTTATATAATGCAACTTTTGTCCAGTTTAAAATAATTGTTGTTTAGTGATAAAAAGAATAAATGCACACATATATCTAACTGCATGTGTTATCACCTCAGTGATATTATCATATCATTATGAAATCGCAAAATTTTTTTCAATTAGTTAATTTATTTTTACAGTTGGTCTTTTACTCGATATGATAGTAACGATTTGTAATTAATGATTCTGATATTAAAAGTAGTTACAACTGTACTTGTAACTGTAACTCATAGCAGTTGTTACTGTAACTCACAGAGCTGTTACTGTAACTCATAATAGTTGTAACTATAACTCACAATAGTAATAAATGTAACTCATTATTATAGTATAATAGATAGTTGTAATTATAACTCATAATAACTGCATAATAGTTGTCAATGTAATATAATTCATAATAGTTGTTACTATAATTAGTAATGGTTGTTACTGTAGCTCATAATAGTAGCTACTGTAACTCATTATTATGGTATAATAGCTGCATTAACCACATAATAGTTGTCAATGTAATATAAAAAAAAAACTGTTGTCAATGTAATAACTCATAATAGTTGTTGCTGCAATTAGTAATAGTTGTTCCTGTAACTCACAAAGCTGTTACTGTAACTCATAATAGTTGTAACTATAATTCACAATAGAAGTTACTGTAACTCATTATTATGATGTAATAGATAGCTGTAACTATAACTCGTAACAACTGCATAATAGTTGTCAATGTAATATAACTCATAATAGTTGTTACTGTAATTAGTAATAGTTGTTACTGTAACTCATAAAGCTGTTACTGTACCTCATAACGGTTGTTACTGTAACTCGATGACAGATATAATAAATAGATATTATGATATGATAGATAGTTGTAACTCTAACTCATAATCACAATATGATAGTAGCTCATTAGTCATGACATGATTGTTAGTTGTAACTGATGGTTATGATCTAAAAGATAATTATAAGTTATAATCATATCATAACTATGATATGATACATAGTTGTAACTGATAATTATGATATGAATGATAGATATAACTATAAATTATGAAGAGTTGCAAGTTTGTAATTGATTGCTGTGAATGATAATCGTAAGTTGTATTTATGATTCTTTCGATCCATTTGTTATCGTTAAATAAAAATTGGTTTAATAATTAGTAACATTATATAGCATTTGCATAATGATCATAATTATCTATTAAGCAACTAACATATTGATGATGCTGTCATACTGATTTGATAAGATACAAATCTCAAAAAAAGATTCATCTTGTTAGACTAATTTATCAACAATTTTTTCATAAAATTATCAGTTCATATCGAATTCATTTTCAAATATTATCAACAGTTAATGAATAATCTGATTCATCTAACAGACTGATAATATCAAATAATTTTTCCCATACAATAATAAAAAAAAGTATGAATCGTTACGATATTATCAAATAACAAAATATCTCGTAATTCTGATATTATAAAGTTATAGATTTTTTTTCTATAAAAAACTCTGTTTTGCATAACAAAAAATAAGAAAAATATTTACTGCTTTTTCAAGTTATTTACTTTATTTTTATTTTTTATTTTTGGTGCAATTTGATATTTCTGATGAGAAATGATTGATTTTGAAGTATCTATTTTGAAGTTTTTGTAACATAGTTATCGCCTTCCATATTTCTATTTACTATTAATACTATTAAAGTGAAATAGCTATGATAGTGGGTTTTTTATGATTAATTATGATTTAAATACGAGTGAAAAAAAGTTGAATCAAAAGAATTTAGCAAAATTAGTAAATTTGCACATATTATACAAGATAAATAGATCATTTAGAATATTGAAATTTGATTAAGCTAAATTAAAAATAATTCATTTACCTTCATAGAAATTGTTTTCCTAAATTATTTGGTCGAATTTGAAAATAAACAGCCATATAGGTATGTTTAAATGATTTTTCATAACATAAAAAATGAATTTTCATATAGCTTTTCTTGATGTTATATATTTCAAAAATGTTTTATAAATGATAATTTATTTTTATAAATGTATTTTTATAAATATTTTATAAATAATAATTTGAATTGAATAAAAAATTATACAATTATCGATGAATAATAATGGCGCAAATTGTGTGCGAATTTATGATCAAAAAAAATGATTGTAATAAAAGAGTGGATGAGATAAAGCCTTTCATTTAGATGAAATATAATAAGCAAATCAAAGGTATCAATAAATTTAGCTATAAATTAAGCGATCCGTTTTTGAATTTTTTTCTTTTTACTTTTTACTTTATTTTATTGATATGCAAATAATAAATGGCTTTGTTTATAAATGCTAAAACTAAAACGATACCATTTGCGCTTCATCCTAAAACTTTAAATTTAGCAGAAGAAAAGAACAAATAAACTACTCTCACAAATTATATTATTTAAGCAACGATTAGAAATTTTTGAGCAAATCGATTAAGTCAGATCATTTTTCTTAGTTATTTTGCTAACTCAATTTAACATTACTAAAAATTAAAATTTTCATAAAACAATGAAATAAACTTTAATAGATAAATTTTGAAAGCGATTAAAAATTTTATACAATTAAAATTCAACAAAGAAATTGATTAGCAATTGTAAATAAATAGAATGTCAAAATGGAGTGGATCAACTTCAATGAATGATTTTTTTTCTTTTTTCTTTTTTTTAGAAATATCTTAAATAAATCTTTTTAAATAATATATTAAAAAAAAATTTTGTTCAAATATTAGTGATAGTAATTAAATATTAGTGAAGAAAAAAAAAAGAGTAATAAAGAGAAAATAGTGGAAAAAAATAAATAGCAAATGCTGTAATGAAATGAAGAAGTATGAAAAAAAAAAAAAAAAGGAAAATAGAAATAAGAATTGTTTCGAACATTCGATACCATAGCAAATTTCATTGGATTTTGTTGACCAAATTTATTTGCGACTTAGTGTAAGTAAAGTAAATTGAATTAGATGAGGATAGATAGATATAAATTGCATGTTCACTTCTATCTATATGCAAATATCCGGTTTCACTATTTTAAAGCAAAATTTAAATGTTGAAATTGCTTACATGAATAATAAATAGTATGCTTACATGATTAAAAATTTGTAAATTAATATAATAAATTAGCATGAACTTTATATTAGTATGATAAAATCAATTTTTTATGCAGAAATTTGCGAACATTTAATAATTGTGTATTTATGTTTACAATTTTCCTTCTTCTTTCTTCCTTTTTTTTTTTTTTTTTTTTGAAATGTAAACAAACAATTAATTGTAAATGATAAATTTATTGTAATGAGACAATGCAACCAAGTCAAAGAAGAAAAAAAAAAATCAAAATCAAACATATCGGCAAAAAACAATAAATTTGAAATAATACTCTGTCGGATGTATTATGTAAAGCACTTATTATAAAAGATCAGATAAAATTTTCTGTTAATTTTTTAATTCTTCCAACTAGAAAAATTCATTTTTTCAAATGATAATTATAACAATTACTGATGAATCAGTGAATATAACTATAGTGCTTTGGATAACCCGTACAGATATGTTATTTCGAGGTATGCTTCTCAATAAAAATACATCAATGCTAGTAATCATATAAAAATATTAATTAGTTGTTCTCCCTTCTCTGTTCACTAAATTCTAATGTTCCCTTCACGTTCATTATAATTTTAAACTATCAAATGGATTGGATTATACATAAACATCTGTTTCGTTTTTCTTTTGACATTTGACAAACAAGCACAACCGACACGTTTCTTTTGGCTTGAAAAAACAGAAAAAACTTAGAATTGGCCAAAAACGCTAGTTATTTCACCGGCAAATTTGCAAGTAAACAATAAAAACTTGAAAATGAAGCATTACAGATCATTCGGAAATGCAAATGTTAATTAAGGATATGACGGAAGATCTAAGTAGTCAGGCCCAATTAGGATAGACACATATTCATTTCTTTGTATTTACTGCTGGAAGCGAAGCTTGTGCACCAAACTGCTTCTGACACAAATGACAACTCCATTCACCTTCCGGAGCTTGCGGAAGTGGAGGCCGCAAACAGTAAAGATGAAAGCCGCGATCACAATCATCACAGAATAACAACTGATCCTAAAACATATTCATTTTTAGAATTTATAACTTTTTCTCAAACATAACAAAAAATACATCAAATGTTACTGACAAGGAATTTTATAAAAGTTAAGCAGAAAAATAAACTTATATTATAGTGAAAAATCGGAACAAGAATTTAGAGAAGAGTAAACTAACATCATTATCTGAGAATCCACAAATCGCGCAACTTTTACATTCAATACATTGCCAACCATATTTGCCGGTAGATGTAAGCATATTATCCGTAAACTTAAGACAACTCGGATGGCCTGCAAGTATTTCATAAAAACAATGCCATGAACTTATCATAATTAGAATACATTAGATAATCAAAATATCTATCATGAAATTTGAAGATACTCTAACTGCACAGCTTGAAAGTAATTTATGTAGCAAAAATACACAAATTACTCCTTCTACTAAGCATGATCATCCTTCTACTGCAGTCAATGTGAAATAATCACAAATTATATAAAAGCAGTGAGCAAAATATGCATTGCATAAATGACCTGAATGGTTAGATATGAAGTGACAATCCCGAGAAGTATATTAATATGACACTTTTACAACATAATAACATGATATTTATGTATGCTGCAACACTATTACCTGATCTTCCACAATCATGACAGCTAATAAGCTGTTCCGGTTTCATTGTTTTTTTGTTCTGGTTGCAATCACCCAAACATAAGTCGCAAACCGTGGACACATCGATACTCGGCGATAGCACTGAAAAGCACTCATCATGAGCAACCCGCAAGCAACACAGACAATCCAATTTAAGCATGCTGTAATGAATGCAGCATATTTTCCAAACAGCTGTAATATCCACGGAATTTTGTGCCACTATTTAGGGATCAATTTTTTTATACATGGTGATAGTCCTGGAATGGGCTATATGTGCCTATACCCAACCATGCATTTCGTAAGCATATTGCAATTCGATAAGCCAATCTTAAAAATTAAAAACAATCTCTGACCTTCTGGCAGTTTCCAAATTTGAAATGTCTTCAGTTTTTTCGACTTCTTCAAAATACTACGCTCTGTTGTGTTACTGCCAAAAAAAACCTCATTGGAGAAAGTTTTTATACTTATTAATATATATAAAGAAATACTAATTGGACATTTCCGAAAGCAAATGGATAACAACAAATGTGTGTATCACCGAAAACAAGCATTTTTTGATACAGTTATAGTTTGATAAAGTAAACCCGTTTGAATCGTTGTAAGCTGAAAAAGTTCTGGATGCTACCCGGAGATGACAACTAAACCCAGATGTTTGTATCCCTCTGCAATAAATAAACTGGTAACCAATAAAGCAAAAGAATCAATCAATACGATGTGCTGGTTGGGGCGTTGTTGATGGACTGACATTATCTGCATGCACATGAGCTCGATGATAGTTTAAACCCGGACGACTTTTATATTTGGCACCGCATACTGAAAGGATGCATACCAATTAAATGGAAATTAATGTTATCGAATTTGGAAATTAATGTTATCGAGTTTGAGAAATTAACACCAAAAAATATTTCCACAGTTAGTTGATGAAAGAAGAAAGGTGACCGGATAGGATATTATTAATACTTCACGCATAGTAAAAAAAAAAAAAAAAAGTCCAGAAATTACGAAACACTTACAATTACATGAAAAAGGTTTGGGATCTGGTGTAAATCCCTGCGTTGGCGGTATATTCACAGATAAGGTTGTCGCATTTTTGCGTCCACCCCGACTCCCTCCTGCAGCACCTCTCCTTTTACGTTTTTTTCTTCCATCTGACCATTCTTCTTCATCTGACGCCTCACCAGGATCTTCTTCGCTTGCTTCCTCCACTTCCATGTCTACTCCTGGTTCTTTTATAACCTATAAATATAGGATAATTAAATTGCCATCATCATCGACAGATTAACCAACAATGAATCAAAATTAACTGTTTTATCATTGCACGATAAAGAAGCAAACAAACTTAATGCTTGGATCGATATAAGCTTCTTCAAAAAGCTTGCATATAAATTAAAAATAACCTTGAAAATCAACCATTTCCCTTCTTTTATCGTAAAACTTCATACATAAATTAATCAAGTTAAGACTTACATAGACTTTTCTTTTTTCAGTGAAATGATTTTCTAATGATGAATTCGCCATCGCTGTCAGTGATTGAAAATCAGTCGGATCTAAAAAAGAAATGATAGTGAAAATAAAATTTCGATAGTACACGAACAATGATTCGCAAATCTCCTCATTAAGAATTAAATTTTATAGAACTATTTCAAAGCAAAAAAAATACCAAAAACAAAATAAATAAATAATAAGATCCCGTAGTTACCCTGGCCGGCTGAACTAGCTTGATTTATCACATCGCTAATTGTTGGATTACATTCTAATATATATTTCATTTCAGTTGCATCTGATGTTGGCGCTGACTTCCTTTTCTTCCAACGCCTGCTACCATATGTGCAATACTGAAAAAAAAATTGTTATTGGGATAACAGAAATCTATGAAAAATTGAAAAGTAAAATTAAAATGTGAAATATTGGAAGTGTACGAAGGTAAGGAACCACATATGATACAAAAAATACAATTTAATCGAAATTTAATCGAAAACACCTACAATTATAACTTAATATAAAACCTACACTCACTCTCAAGACAGTGAAACAAAAATAGCGACAAAAACAACAATAACATGAGTACATTGAAACTGCGACTGAAACTATAACGAATTCATCACACAAAGGATAACAACACGAGCAATTTCAACACTATAACTATAGTTATAATAACAATAAGTATCTAAAACTGCACCAATGTTAAGAAAGCAGAAAAATTTACTAATAATTCCGCTAGTGACAGTGTAATATTATCAGTAATTTTGGGGATAATAATGATAGTTTTACAATGTACAAAAGTTAGTGGTCATTTAATTTAATGTATCAGTGCAATGCATTCTTCGCAGTAATACAAAGTGGTGCAATGATGAATTGTGTATCAATTTTCACAACCTACATTAATTTTAAACTTGCGAGTATCGAAACATTAAGTGGGCAATGCAACACTCGTAAAAGAAAAAAATTTTTTTTTTTTTTTGGCCTCTTCTTCCTTTTTGTAATTTATTTGCCCAAATTTTACTTGCTTGCCAGAAAAAAAAAACAACTAAATACTTCGTTATTATAGTACGTGATAGTCGAATATATGATTCTAATATATGAAGGGAATTTCATTTTAATGAAGGAAAAATTATGTTGATAAACCTGAGAAGGATTTGATGGTGGATATCGATTAGATAGTTCATAAATGGCATGATGTGATGGGTGCTGTGCTATACCAGTTTGAGGATCTAATACCGTATATCGACCTTTTCGTTCTGTTTCTACCCGACTGTTCCATTTCGAGCAATTCTTCATCATTTCTATATACAACGATTCTGATATCATCTTAACCTGTAAAATAATTGCTAAGCCTATTTTCTCATTTACTCGAAATCAATAATATCTTAATTCTAACATATTAATCTAATCTATACTTTATATTAATGTTTCTGATAACGTAATCAACCATTGATAACCTAACCAATCACTAATTACTATCAATCACCTCCACACTTCACATTCATTGATTTTTATTTAACAAATTTCTCTGGACGAACCATAGAATTCCATTATAGATGGTTCGGCCTAATAATTAATTCTTGTATTTATGGTGCGACAAATTAATTATTTAGTATTTTAGAATCGAATAACTGAAGCACGAATTGTTCCTAATTATTACTTAATAACTTCAAGAATTCTAACTAAAAACTGAATATTTCAAAGTTTTTTTTATGCCCAATAAATTGGCATCATTGATGTGTAATGTAAGCTTTTTTTTTTTCATTTTTAAAATATCTTATAATGCTCGATTACATTTGTTATAATAAAATCAATTTATTTATGAGATTCACTAAAGATTAATTTTAATTGATTCTTATTTTTTCATGTTAATTTTTTAACAATACGATCTAATAGAGTTATTCACTGTTGTTGGAATTCGAAAAAAAAAACAGTAAATTGCAATTTTTTTTTGATTCCCAATAAGTTGTGATATATTGGCTTTAAATTAACAAAAACACTTCCCACTTTTGGCAGGCTTTTAATGACCAATTAATGGACATTTTAATAAAAGCATACTGTTAAATGATTTTAATTTGTGAATATTTTCTTGTTGTTTTCTCTCCTTGGATTAAATCTAATTAAATTGATTTATATTAATATGAAATTGTATTATATTGATTGCTATATTGTACTTGCAATTACTTTATGCTATGTGATGAATTCACGGAAACTTTTGTTTGATAAAAGTTTTGATACGAAATGATTTTCTGTTTTTTTGGACTATTACAAGTTGGCTTTATGAAGTGAAAAATATTTCAATTTTATTCATCACAAAACGGGTTTTCATTTGTTTTCTATAAACCTTACACATTTTATATTTGATCTCCACGCGTTCTTTTTAAAGGAAAATGATATTTGTGCTAGCCATAGCAGAGAGATTTTTGTATACTAATTGCTGTTGCGAAAACTCAGAATGATGAATATTCCCGGCCGTTTAACCAATAAACAACTCCTGCAACATTTGATCTCTGATAAGAATATTCATTGCCTGTTTCGTCGTTCTACACAAAATCCATCAATTTATGATGCAAGTTTATTTTTCTTATCTTATTGACAATCTAACTGACTGTAATAATTTTGTTGGATGTTCCTACTTCCAGAAAAGGAAAAAAGAAACTTGAAATGTTGAATTCAGTCTAATAATCACCGATCAAATTTTAGCTAAAATCGCTGAGCTATAATAATTGCATGTATCATCAGGAAATGAATGGATTACATAGGTGGGAATTGGATTATGTATGTTGGAAATAATTTTATACTATCGCGAAATTAATAAGAGGTACTGAGAAGATAAATTGGTTAATATTTAAATGAAAAGATCAAAATGAATATTTTGTTAGCGCTCTTTTATAGGCTACTTGTGACTCAGAACTGCATGCTTGTACTTATTCAATATTATAAAAATTATACTTATTCAATATTATAAAAAGAAACAGTTGTATAGTAAAATTGAAATATATATTTTATGAAAAATTCATAACATATTCATTTGTTCAAAAAGTTTTGAAAGGATAAAAGCTACTAAAGAAAGAAATGTTATCAATTTTAGGTCAACAAGCTTTCAGAAGAATCTCAGAAAGAAGGCTCAAAAATACGCTGGAGCGAGCGTTCTCCTTTTGGATTGGTATTGAATTTTAGACTTTGCATTTTTTCCAAAAAATTTTCCATCGTTAATTGAGTAATGAATTTTGTTAAGAAAAATGTGGCATTTGAATCTATGCATTCTTGAGATTTAATTCTTGTGAATATACATTAAAAGTATAAAAAAGACGATTGCAGGCTGCACCATTAGTGGCATTTGCTCTTGGTGTATGGCAGTTACAGAGATTGCAGTGGAAAACAAATTTATTGAAAAAAATAGAAGATAGAATGAAACAGGAAGCTGTACCATTTCCAGATGATAAGTAATACTTTAAATTATTTCAGAAGATTTTCATTTCAGTAATAGCATATTCTAAATGACGTGTACATATTTATATAATTAAATAAGTTATTAAACTAATCGGTTTCTAAAAAAAAAGAAAGAAAAAGAAACTTCGCATGATCTATACAAAAATTTAAATTCTTTGGATTTAGTTTGTCGTCATTGGACGATCTTGAATATGCAAAAGTGAAAGTAACGGGTGAATTTCTTCATGACCATGAATTTTATGTGCAACCAAGGCAACGATTTGATAAAGGTGAAACTCATTTGTGCAACCTTTGTGTCATATAAAAAAGTGAGATATCAATGAGACTTTCAGAGGAAAAGAAATCGAAAATTCGACCTGCAGTAAATAATTTTGGTAGCCCTGGTGCACAAGTTATCACTCCGTTTAAACTTCATCCATCGGGGTAAATTTTCAAGGATAAAATAATTCGTTTTAGGCACAGAGAGGATGCTATTTGTTTAGTTCGTGATTATACAGATTTAAATTTAATTGCAATATACACGCAAATTTTGATGCTTTTGCATATTTATTATTGTTAGGATTCAATTTCTAAACTGATTAGATTTAAAGAATCCATGTAAGACCTTTTCCCTTGCTTCATCAACTTTGTTTCGTCTTTTTTGCATTTGTTGAAATTATTTGATATAATTATTTATTCAGCCAGATCATTCTGGTTAATCGCGGATGGGTTTCTCCGCAAAAATCATTCCTTCAAGTCGAACTGAAGGACAAGTGCAAGGACAAGTTACCTTTGATGCAGTAGTTCGTCATACCGAAAAGGTAACTTACTTTATTGACTGTGACTTTTTTTTTTCACCTAATTCAGAAACCTATGTTTAGTCAATCCAATTTTAGAGGACCAAGAACAAAATATGGGAAAGTTTCAAGAAGTTGTAGCAGTAATCTTGAAGATTAATTTAGCCAGTATATATAGAGACAGTAGTGGTCTTGTTTGTTTATTTTAAAAACCATTGTTTTTTAATTTCCAAATTGTTTATTTTAGAGGCCGTCCTTTATTCGGCGAAATGATCCTGACAATGACCTTTGGTTTTACACAGATATTGAACAAATGGCAGAAAAACATGGCACATTACCCGTTCTTGTTGATGCATGTTATGGTATGAAGATTTGAATTTTTGATATTAAAATATGAAATTTGTAACCTAAATCTTCTGTAGAAGCATGAATTTATTTATGAAATGAGATTACTTTATTTTTTGAAAAGTCTTTAAGTTATCATTTTAGAATCTAGTATTCGAGGTGGTCCAATCGGAGGTCAGACAAGAGTAAACCACAGAAATGATCATATGATGTATGCTTGTTTCTGGTTAGTTCATATTATAGCTTACTTTGCACTCAGCTGATGTTTTATGCCGGTTTAAGCTGATGCAAATTTTCTTCCAGGTTTTCAATTGGAGCGGCAACTTTGTTTGGATGGTTTCTTTAAAAGTAGTTTGATTAGAATCTTGAAATATAATTTATACATTTCAAAACTCTGTGCTTGAGAAATAAAATTTGATCGATTGTGAAAGCTATGAAAATTTCTATAGACTTTCTTCTTTTTTCATTACTTTGTCAAATGGAATTTGTGAATCGCTTTAATGTTCGGTCATTTTTTCTTTTTTTTTTTTTTTTTTACCACGTTATGTATTATGAATTTCAGTTAACGAGTTCTAATAGTTTTCTTCTTTTGTTATTTTGTTTAGAAATGTTTAATAAAGCTGACAGAATTTTATCAATATTGCTGTTCCATGATTTGCACAACCTCTCAGACGGTTTACATGCACATATACAAGGACATGCATAAAAATTCACACATACACATACATGCATACCATACCTAAATGCATGCCTAACTATCTACAAGTCATTTCATAGTAATGGAATTAATTACTGAAAGACCGAAAGAATTGATCCGGTCGCCTACTTTTCAGTGTCACGAATATGTCAAATCCTTATCCCATCTTATCACTGATAAATGTTTTAACGAAGACTGGCAATATGAACAGAACAATATGAACAGCGATATATCTATTTGTGTTAATCCATATAATCCCTGAGTGATGCCTGATCTACAATATTTATCTTTGTGCAATCGCACTTTCATCCAATTTCAAGCATTACCGAACTGATAATATTCTTTATCATTGCATTCATATGTAGTGATAAATGTAATGATAAGCAGATTATAATGAGAGCTCTGCTAAAGTAATACTATAAAGAAAATAGAGAATTTTTTTGTACTTTACATAATTCCTAATTATCTTTTAGAACAGAAAGCTTTGTTATCCTGTAGATAATAAAACAACATTATATGTCTCTCATTAAGAGCACTTAGATGCACTATTGAACAGCCTTCTGGCTTCTAGAAATAATGCAACCACTTCAGTGATTTTGTATCTGTAATTTTTTGATTATGTCTAAAACCTTACATTATGTTCTTGTAGATCATGCAGATCTTCAGGTTTGTTTTTGAATTATAGCATTTTTGCTCATTTTTTTGCTCTAGTGAAATTGGTAAAATAATGTAATTGTCCTATTATTTAATCAGTTCATTGGCATCTTAAATTAGTGTTTCTCATCTAAAATCTAAAAAAATCTTTTATAAATGAAGCAGTGTATAAAAAAAGTGAATTTCAAATATTAATGAAACTGTTCCGAGAACAATCAATATTACTATGAAGTGCCGAGTCAGAAGTTATCGTTTTGCGATCTATGACCATGTCATTACTTCAACTACTTGATCCGCGCTATAAATCTGCACAATTCTTAGTCTTCAATAATTAAAAGCAATAAATAGCGAAAAAATGACAAAATATGTTTTATATAAATATCCAACTATGTGTTCTCTTCGCTTGCCTTTAATTGCAATTTAAAACAATCTGTTGTGAATATCGTTTATTTAACCCATCAATTTAGCAAACTTTATGTACTATTTAACTTTGTTCTAATCAACTTTTTTCTGTTGCAAACATAATGTAGTAAATGATCTATTCATCAATCTGGTTGCAGTGAATTTATCACAATAGAGAAAGCGAAAGCATTATTTATTGAGCCATTCTCAGTGCAATGCAAATATTTTTTCCAGAAATTTCTAGCCAAAACTTTATCCAAATAACGAAAATTGTTTTGGATTGTAGTTTTTTTCTAATTTTTCAACTTTCCTTTTAACGCATTTGTTCATCTTGTCTAGTTTGAATGATTTGCTAATATCCTGAAATGCAATTAGCACAGAAAGCTCGTTTTTTTTATCGGCACAGAAAACTTTTGTTTTTATTTTTAATTGCATGAAATAAGGCAGGTTTTGGGCGGTTTGTAAGTGGTTTGTAAATGCTTTGCAGCTGGTTTATAATCGGTTTGTAATTGGTTTGCGAGTGGTTTGTAATTGGTTTGTTGGTGGTTTGTAATTGGTTTGTAAGTGGTTTGTAATTGGTTTGCAATTGGTTTGTAAGTGGTTTGTTGGTGGTTTGTAAGCGGTTTGTAATTGGTTTGTGAGTGGTTTGTAATTGGTTTGTGAGTGGTTTGTAATTGGTTTGTGAGTGGTTTGTAATTGGTTTGTTGGTGGTTTGTAATTGGTTTGCAATTGGTTTGTAAGTGGTTTGTAACTGGTTTGTGAGTGGTTTGTAATTGGTTTGTAGGTGGTTTATAATTGGTTTGTAATTGGTTTGCAATTGGTTTGTAATTGGTTTGTATTGGTTTATAGGTGGTTTGCAATTGGTTTGCAATTGATTTGGTTTGTAATTGGTTTGTAGGTTGTTTGTGAGTGGTTTGTGAGTCGTTTATAAGTGGCTTGCAATTGGTTTATAAGTGGTAACTAATGCAAGAACATGTTTATTGTTGCTTTGTAAATGGTTTGTTATCATTCAAGTATTGTTGGAAGGACATATTAAAGCTTCTAGAATATTGCCCACTAATATCTTCGAAAAAAAAAAACATCCTTCATTCATGAAAAAGAATTATACAAAGGATACAAAAGACAATTAAAAAAGAATAAGAAGTACTCATATTTATAAATAAAACTAACCTGACATCCACCCCTAATACACTTTAACGAAATATAATAGGGTATATATATATATATACATATATAATAACCACAAACATGCATTAACAAAAAAGATAGTCAAGAAGAAAAATAAAAAAAATCTTCTTTACCTTCCTTCTTTAGTAATTTAAGACCACCAAATAACGCTTGAAAAACTCCAGAGTAACCAACTTTATTAGGTTCAATACGATACTGAGTTCCACCCAAAAAATGATGTCCTATTAAAGGTAAAAAAACAACAGCCTGTAAAATAAAAATAATTATAAAAAAAATACCAATATAATAAAAAACAAACAAAGAGAAATCCAAAGTATTTACAATTCTCTATTCTAATATAAACTAATACTTTTAAACATAGAGACAAGTTTCCTTACCTCTACCATACTACAACTTACGCTCCTGTAGACCATTGACGGATGGTTTGTACCACTTTGTTTATTAAATTCCTTAATATATAAAAAAAAAATTTATTTTCTCCTCTAATTTCAAAAAAAATAAAATAATCCAAAAAAATTTAATAATAGTAACACACGATTATAAATATATAAGCCAAATATATATATATATATATATGTTTTAAATAACAAAACATAAAAGCATTACAAATAAAATAAAAACTAAACAATCATACATGTGCCAATAAGACTAACTAAAAAAGAGGGCTCTCTATACGTTCCAAAGAAAAATCCAAAGTCAGTCAATATTTTTTTTTTTTAAATAAAACTTTACTCCCGAATTAATTAATTTTGATTACCTGGATACTAATCCAGTTCAAAAACCAAATTTTAAACGTCTTTTTAAATAATAATAAAAAAAAAAAAAAAAAAACTAAAACATTTTACAAAAATAACATAAAAATAAAAAGATGAAAAAAAGACACAACAACAAATAGAGTTGAAAATTAAAATGTATTGCCGATTACTCTGGAACACTTATAAAACAATTAAAAAACTACCAGTGAACAAAAAATTACACATTAAATAAACTAAAAATAAGCAATATTATCTTAACACAACCAAAACCAAAATCAAACTTAATATTATAAAAAAAAAAAACATAATCTTATCAACACCAAAATTCTTAACACTAAAAAAAAATAACTAAACCAAAAATTCCGGATATAACACCAAAACACAAAAATTAAAAAAAATAATAAAATTAAAAAAAAAAAAAAAAAACATAATAAATAAGCAAAGAAAAAAACAACAATTCAATACGAAGCAAAACAAAAATTAAAAATTATACTTAAAAACAAAATATAAAAAACAAAAAAACAAAAAAAAAAAAAAAAAAAATAATACCTAAAGAATAAATCTTTTGATTAAAAGTCAAAAATTCTAAATTTAAAATAATCCTTTAAATATGATAAAACCTCGAAAATATGAATCTCACAGACTTAAAAATTATCCTACCTCATTAAAAGAATCTTTAACCTACTAATCAACAATTAGTTATACAAAAATTATACTTAAAATTCCTACTAGCTTAAAACCAGCCGCGCTTAAAACGAATATAGTTTTTATACTAAAAAGCCCTAGTGCATAAAAATCTTAAGATTGCAAATCAAATATAATAATTTTATAATATACACACATATAAGATAATTTATTTATTAAGAATGAAGTAGTTGGTATATTAAATAAATACAATTCTATAACATTAAAGTTATAATACTCTAAGAATTGTATTCAATTTAGTAATTATTAATAGAATAATTACTAATATTTGGCAATAATTATATTGAAAAAGAAAAATATAAATATACCATTAATACCAAGATAATCTGGAGATAAAATACCCACAGGAGATCAAATTCCCCTAACCAAGTTAAAGGTCATAAAGAAGAATCTAAAAGGTCCAAAAATAGAAAAAAATCAAGTCAATTCACTAAATAAAAATAAACGAAATCCTTGATCAAATATTCGATAATCATAAAAAGAATATTGTCCACTAATATCTTCTAAAAAAACATTCTTTATCCATAAAAAGTAACATATAAAAGTTACAAAAACAAATAAAAAGAATAGGAAATACCCATATTTATAAATAAAACTAATCCAACAGACACTCCTAATACACCTAATCCAAATGTAATAGGATAATAACTAAATTCCATTTTATGATACCAGGCAAAATGCTAACACAAAACAGGCAAAATGATAACACATACCTCAGGATAGCTCAGGATGACCAAAAAATCAAAATAAATGTTGATAGAATAAAGGATTACCTCCATTCTTAGTATCATAAAAAGAAGTATTAAAATTACGGTCAAATAATAAAAGTAATAACGAACCAGCTTACATAGGTACATATAACACTAACAAAAAAGAAGTTAAATAGAAGATCAAAAAAACATGTTTGCCTAATCTAAAGTAACAGCAACAGAGCGAATATTCTGA